AWMAAWAAATAAATAAATAAATAAAAGAAGGGACTAGAGTAGAGAATGACAGAGTGCATCGGGAGGGTGGGCATCACTTCTTTTTATGGGTTGGGGGTGCAACGTAAAACTGTCCCCTGTGTAGCTTTCCCTCCAAAAGTTGAGCCTCTCTAGTTTTAGAGAACTGAGCCATCAGTCCGAGGGAACCCAAGCCTATGCTTGCTACTTTCCAGACAGAGGAGAACGGCGGCGAGTTATCTTTAACTGCTCCTGGATTCCAGAGGACAACAGGCTCAGATGGCGGGACTGGCCCAGGGCGGCACAGCACGTTGTCCTGTCTTCCCAGTGGCCATCTGGGGTTCTTCCTCCCGGCAGCACATGGCGTGGGGTCTTGGTAGAGCAGCAGAGGCCAGCTTGCCTGTGGCTGTGGTGGGGGAGGAGCTATCATCTGGGTGGGGACAGGGTGGGACAGAGGGCTCCTGTGGCCTCAGAGACCCGTCTTATGGAGTGAAGCAGGTATTTCATTCCATCTGTCCGGCTCTTGGGGTTCCTTCTCTGTTGGAAGCTGGGGACAGCCCTGGGTTGGGGAAGCTGCTTTATACCTAGGAAACAGCTGTTTCAATTGCTCTGGAGAAATTATTGTTGGGTCTTAAAAAACTTTGGCCTGTCCTTGCTTGAGTGTTCTCAAGGGGCGGGGGATGGGGTGCATCCTCCTCCCACACAAAGCGCCTGGCAGTGAGCTGTGGTGGCCCTGTGATAAGTTCCCTTGACTTCAAGAGACGCCATCACCATCATCTGGACGCGGTGGGCCTTGGAAGGGATGCTGATTCTTACAAACAGGGAGTCTTGGGCCTGGCGCCGTGGCCAGCGCTCTGGCTTGAGTGGAAAGGGAGGGTCCAGCTGTCCATCACATCTGATGGCAGTGGAMCAGGCACCTAGCATGTTGAGAGAGGTGGCAGGAGACCATTTGGCTCACCTCCCCTCTCACCCCTGGCCTCTCGTTCCTACTCCCCATGGTCAGTTGCCCCSTGGAAGCAGGGAGTCCCCTTCCTTTGGCTACAGCACGAGGGCTTAGGCAGCTGGAGGAGTGTCCCTGGGGAGAGATGTTCAGGTGTGCCCTTTGCTGCCGTAYGACACAGGGGCTGGTTTTCAGGCACTCCTGACTCCTTCTAGGTCTGAGCTGGCTCTGTCACTTCTTGCCTGTGGGCCTGGGGATCAAGTCTCATCGGCAGTGTGGAATGAGCGTGGGACACCAATCTAGGGACATTGAGAGATGAGCTGAAGCACTCCGGGGGAAGCCCCGTGCCTCCCTGGCCCCGGCTCCGTGCTGAGAGCTAGGGCTGCTGGTCTGGAGAGCCTACCGGGCTGRGGCAGGATGGCCGGCACGGCAGGCCTTCCCGAGTTGCTCTGGCAGGAGGGGCCCTGTCTGGAAGCACAGGGGGCCAGAACCCAGGGAGCACAGGGAATGAGAGAATATAGAGTGGGAACTCTGCATTCTCAGAGCTCACAGTCAACTTTCATTATTAACAGCAGCTACCAATTATGGAGCACCTTCTGCACACCGGGAACTTGAGATGGTTCCTTATGGGGATTATGGCGACTCTCCCACACAGCCCCATCATGGGATTTAAGTGTGTTTGTGGTATAAATGTTGGGAGAAGGCACGTGCTCAGCCAGTGTGACATGGCTAGCAAGTGGTAGGCCTTGGATTCAAACCATGATTCTGACTTCAAAACCGTGCCCTCTGCTCTCAGCCACCCAGCCGCTATCTCCAAAGCATCACATGGGGAGGTGCAGAGATGGACACCACCTAGACCCCGACCCAGAGGGCTGGAGCCTCCAGACCCTGAAGTCCCTGGAGGCGGAGACTGGGCCTGGCCATCCTGCAGATCCCACACACCACAGCACGGCTGCTGCTCAGAGCACGTTCTCAGGAAAGACTAGAAGAGCCGGTGAACCGAGYGGAATTGAAAAAGAAAGCTCTCTTGAGAAAGGCCGTCTGTGCATTCCAGGGCGCTGCCTCCCTCTGGGCGCCTGCCTGGTCCTCTACCCATTGTCCACCACCATCACCATTACCATCACCACCACCATCACCAATATCTCACCATCGTCACCATCACCATCACCATCACCACCATCA